GTGTTGGTCGACAGCCGGCTGAACATGAGCTGGCAGTGTGTCCAGGGGGCTAAGAAGGCCAATAGCATCCTGGCTTGTACCAGAAATAGTGTGGCCAGTAGGACTAGGGAAGCGATTGTCCCCCTGTACTCAGCACTGGTAGGGCTGCACCTCGAATACTGTGTTCAGTTTTGGGCCCCTCACTACAAGAAGGACGTTGAGGTGCTGGAGCGTGTCCAGAGAAGGGCAACGAGGCTGGTGAAGGGTCTGAAGAACAAGTCTTATGAGGAGAGGCTGAGGGCACTGGGGTTGTTTAGCCTGTAGAAAAGGAGGCTCAGGGGAGATCTTACCGCTTGTAGCAAGGCGGGTGTCAGTCTCTTCTCCCAAGTAACAAGCGATAGGACAAGAGGAAATGGCCTCAAGTTGCAGCAGGGGAGGTTTAGATTGGGTATTAGGAAAAATTTGTTCACCAAAAGGGTTGTCAAGCATTGGAACAGGCTGCCCAGGGAAATGGTTGAGTCACTATCCCTGGAGATATTTAAAAGACATGTAGATGTGGTGCTTAGGGACATGGTTTAGTGGTGGACTTGGCAGTGTTAAGTTAAACAGTTCGATCAACGATCTTAAAGGTCTTTTCCAACCTAAACGATTCTATAATTAAGTTAGTGTACTAAGCTTAATTTATTCTTTTATTGTTGCTAAAGACACAGACATGCCTGAGTTATTAACATGTATGAACAGATACTGCAGAATGAAAAAGAGAAACTACTAAGAAGCACTGAAGGAAGAGTAGTACTTGGAACAACTTTTTTAAATTCATCAAAATGTAATTCCTTTTCTTCATTTAGAGATCAAAGACCATGACTTAACAGCTGTTTACAGCAAAATAAAAAGTAGTTTATGGTCCGTCTGAAAACTACTACTGCTGGATCTACAATAGGTATGAACAAAACTACCTTCTCTTGCCCAGCATGATTCTCGTCTTCATGTTCCTCTTCCACTCTATCTCGTTTCAATGCTTTCAAAAATTCACTCTTCTTATCAGTCCGCATTCTTGTCAATTTTGTTAAACGAGGCTGACCAACTTTGTCAACAGGGGATGAAGAATTTGACCGATTACACTAATGTTCGGAGTCAGAAAAAGAAAGAATATTAGAAGTTTATTCATTGTAGAAAACTTTGAATGAAAGACAAGAAGACTCCCTGGCACCTGTAGTTTCAGATTTCACATATATCCAACAGTCAAAAGCAGAGGGAAGATATCTGTATTTCAGTATATGTAGTTCTTACATGTGAACCCGGAGATGCCGGTTTATGGAGCACTGCTAATGAGCAGTGGACCTTCTGAAGTGTATCATACCATTAGCAGTTCTGAAATTTAAACCTATCAGGTTATACTTCCTAATGTGCCATTTTTACTCCAAATCAAACCCACAAAGCAAATTGTGCAGGCCACTGATGTGCCTTCCATACTTCTCACACATTAACTTCCAAAAAAACCTTATTTAATACAATTTGGCATAAAACTTACTGAAACCCTTATCTAACCAAATTAAACATTTTATAGATTTGATAAAAACTACAGACATTGCTTTACCTCTTTCACTGAATTTTGTGATATAGTAAATGCCTTGGCAGTTGATTTGAAAGGACTAAAATTGCCAACACCATATGCAGATTCGTGAGGAAACGGATTCCCAAGTTTATTTTCTTTTGCTTGGCTTTTCCACTGTGCAGGCTAAACAAAAATTTAAACAGAAACTTAAAAAGTCATTAACTACAACAGGATTATTTTCAGGAATCTTCAGAAAAATGATTAAGCAAAAGCAAATCATAACTACAACCATAATTTAGGGCAAACACCTGTTTTCTTGTGGAAAAGAGACTGTTTATGAGCAATTCATCTGCTCACAAATACTGTTTACACTTTTTATATAAAGACTAAAATTTCAAAACAATTAAGACCCTCATATTTGAGGTATTAAGAATCAAAATATGACTCTTCAACAGCTGAAAATATTGTTTTTAATGTAGAACGTTAGAGAGTTAAGAACTACTCCATCATATGCTCCCATAAGCACAAAAAATTTCTGAAAAATCAAGAGGTGAACATGGAGAGTTGCATTTGGAAAGGAACCAGAGTGACACTAATAGGTTGCAACATCATCTCTATCAATAATTGGGATAAATTCTGAAGGTATTTTTATACCAACTGTATCTCTCCACTAGGTATCTCTTTTTCTGTTAAAATCATATATACAAAAGGCATTGCTATTCCATCAGTTAAAAACATTTTCACTCTCACTTGGACAGCTCTTGTACTTCTCAAAAAAGGTAAATGAGAAACAGAGATCCAATTACAGTATAGTTTAAAAAGAAAAATGAGAAAAAGTTGTTTCCATTCACTTTTGTGGTGTGCTGCACTTAGCAAGACTTGAAAGCATAACACTCTAAGACCAGTACTCTCAGGAGTGAAATATGCACATTCAGAATTACAGCATGATTTTTTTTTTCAGCACGTTGTTCATGCCACTGGTATCCAAGACTCACCTTTGCAGGTGGAGTGACAGGTTTAGGGACTAATCCTTTATAAACACTTGTGCCAGTTCCATTCCTTACTGGCTGTGAATGAAGACTTCCTACTACTGGGAATCCAGATATCTGCAGTTCTTTTGTACTGCCCTTTTTAATGACCAGCATTCTTGGAGATCTAGATTTAGGATTCAAAGGGTACTCTGGAAAAAAAAGAAGTGTGTGTGTGTATATATATGTGTGTGTGTGCGCACATGTGTAGACAATCTTAAGTTTCTAGTTCATAAGGTACTAGATAGCCATATGGTCCAGAGCAAACAGGCATAAATCAGGAACTTAGTCCAGTATTAGTTCCACAAACAACACACTGTACAAACCTGGATAAACACAGGTTCTGTTCCATTTTCTACAACCACCATTTGTAAAATATTTCACTTGGCAATGCAGGAATTTTACTTTTGGAAAGTAAAGGTATTCTTCAGAGAAGCCAGCTACACAGTTCTTGTTTGCAAATCTAAAATCCAAATACTATTAGTTGTTGATAGTTACCTAATCGTCAAAAGACATTATGGTTTTCATATGTTGTGGTTTAACCCAGCAGGCAGCTAAACACACACAGCCATTCATTCACTCACTCCCCGCCCCCACAGTGGGATGGGAGAGACAATCGGGAAGAAAAAGTAAAATTAATGGGTTGAGATAAAGGCAGTTGAAAAGGACAGAAAAGGAGGGGGGGGAATAATAATAATAATAATAATAATGATAGAAGAATATACAAAGCAAGTGATGCACAATGCAATTGCTCACCACCC